GGTGCAACTTGAGGTAAGGTCCGCCTATCTGGTTGACGTCGTGGACGTGCTCGGGCCTCCCCAAATCCGGCCAGATTTGACTAGATATGAGGGGTGCCGGTCAGTCCGGGCATTTTCGACCGATATAAGGAGCCTATCTGGGCCAGTTTTTTGTTTTTTACCGTTCAGTAACCGGGCCGTTCGCCCGGAATGGTACACATGATTTCTTATGGCTCATGCAGCGGGGAGAGTAAACTCGTTCCGTTCCCTGTCACTGACCTGCCGGGCCCCACGGAAGGCCATGCAATTCTAGACGTTAATCCACGCCCATCTCCTCACAAAGCATCAGGAAGCGACATCCGGCTTGTGCTAAAAAAAAAGGAAGAGACATCCGGCCCAGCAAAGTGAAACAAGTATAGATGGCCGGCGGTGCGGCGGTGGCACCGCCGCGTCGGCACTCTCGAGCCCATGGAGGGCGCTGCTGCAGCGAGCGTGCACCTACTTTGAAATACAGAATCAGTTATACATAAATTGGTTAAAACATTGCAGATTCATATGCGCCTATTGTGTTGCTTAATACCTGAAAAGTAATCAGAGATTGATGTTCACAAGAACCCGAGAAGGAGATGAGTCCAGTGATTGGATGGCCCAAAGTGTTAGCCCATAACGACCTTTTTGTTATAAAGGGTGAGCATAAAAGTGTTATTAGCTACCACTAATTTTATTTGGGGATTTTCCATTGCAAGGAACTGTCTTCATTCCTCAACATCTTTTCCAGCTTGTCAGAATGCATCTTTGGCAGAGCACCCTCGCACTAGAGAGTGAGCTGTGTGCTTTACCTGCACTACAGTCCTTTGTGATACATGATACTCTTAATTAATATTGTAGAATGGTTCAAAGGCCAGGAAATACATCGAATCAATCTACATTTATGGCTGTAATCACAATAATATCACGCACACAAAATAGAAGATCACAAGGAATTGTACAAGTATTAAAGTTTCTCACTGGTGGTTACAGGAGTAGTTTTCTGAATTTAGATACTGCAATATATACTGGAGTAAATCTGGTTATTTTGTTCGGCAGCCGTGAGATACAAGGAAGCTATCTTCTAGGTGATATACTTTGATTGCAGCAAATTAATGGTGATATTTTTCTTTCAGGGAAGATTAATGGTGAGATTATATATTGCATTTTTCGTCTAAATATCTCCACCATAACGTCTAAAGATCGCATTTTTCGTTTTCTTTCCCTTGGTTCCCACATCGTATTTTGTGTGTGGTGGCCGGCGAGATGGACGCCAATGACGATGCCAATGGTTTCTGCTTCCCCTATGACGTGCTCCTCGAGATCCTCCATCGCCTCCCAGCTCGCGCCCTCGCTGACTCCCGGCGCGTCTGCCACGCGTGGCGCACCATCATCGACGCCCACAGCCTCCTCCTTCCCCACGCCTTCCCGCGCGAGTTCCCTGGCATCTACACTATCATCTACTATGGATTCACATCTGACTCTGCCTTGTTCGTCCGGCCTATGTCACAGTCGGATGAGCCTGGCTATCGACGCCCTTTCAGCTGGGGCGATTGGGGCATGTGCACACAACAACACTGCAATGGCCTCTTCCTTGTCCGGGATAGTTACCACCTGGAATATGCCAATGAAATGTACGCGTGCAACCCAACGACAGTACGGGCTGCCCATCTGCCAAGGCCTCCGACACCGTGGCCATGCAATGTTGAGGGAATGTTTCTCGCCTTCGACCCGGCCATGTCACGGTATCACAAGGTATTCCTCCTTCCTTCAAAGAAAGTACCCTACCGTTGGTTCACCGAAAAAGAGCAGTGGGATTTAGAAGAGGAAGAATCCTATGGTTTTGCTAGCCAGTTTGGTGAGCTCGATGGCAAGGCAATAAAGATGCTGCCTTTGCTGGTGTTCTCGTCACAAACTGGGCAATGGGAGGACAAGAAGTTTGCACCTGGGCGTTGCGCCCCAGGGCACATCTATGACGTGGTGACCACACCGCGTGGTTTCAAAAGGTTGGCATGGTCAGCCGAGTACTGGCATGGATCGCTCTATGTGCATTGTCACAGTGGCGTCCTCTTGATCTTGCGTTGCTCAGAAGGGGTGTACGACATGGTCCAATTGCCAGGGGATTTGGCTCCGTATGATGACGAAGAGGATAAGGAGTCATGGGACCTTCCCAAGAGATCTGTTTTAGCGAGCTATGAGAGAGGGGTTTGCTATGTGACCCTCAACAAGTACCATCTCATGGTATGGGCACTGATAGAATCTACCGACGGTCAACTTGAGTGGACGTTGGCACACGAGGCCGACCTTAGACCGCATAGTCGTAGTATGGAATCTTTGAAGAGAAAAGCAAGACCGAGGATGAAAATGGAATGGGAGCTGGTCGAAACGGATGAAAAACTAATTAGCTTGTCAGGACAAAGCAGTAATGAGGAAATTGATGAGGATCATGATACTGGAGAGGAAGAATACAACGAAGGCGAGGTCGAAGAAGTGGAGAGGAGTAGTGAGGAAGATGACAAGAATGATGATATTGGAGAAGAAAGTAACGATGACGAGGCCGAAGAACTTGGGAGCGGAGAGGGCTCCGTGTACTCATGGAACTCGGACGAGCACAACTTCATCGACTTAGACGAAAGTGATACCACCGACTTAGAGGGATACTTGTTCAGGATCATTGGTTTACATCCGCACAAGGATGTGCTTCTCCTAAATTTTTGCTCATGTGTGGTGGCATATCATCTTGGTACCTCGAGAATGCAGTACTTAGGTCACATTTTTCCTAAACAACTGACACAGAATGCTGCAAACGTCCGTTGTGCCTTCCCTTATCGCCCTTGCTACTTCGATGCGCTCCCTCAGAGGAAGTCCCAACCATCTTAAAAACACCGCAATGTAGTTTCAGACTCACCCTATCCTTATTATGTTTTCTAGCATCTAAATGTATTTTTCGCAGCTCTCGTGCATGTTGTCGACAATAAATAAATATGTTTCATAGCATTTGAGGAATCCTTATAAGGGAGATGATGTGCTATGTGCTTTATCTGAATCATAGTCATTTGTAAACATGCAAGATGGCTCTTATTTACATGTATGCTTACAGTTGAAGGTCTACCTTCTTTTCTTATTTTTTTCTTCTATGCTTACTTAGCTAGCCTTGTCTTACCAGATGATTCAAAGCCCGGTATATACGTTGATCTAGACCAGAGAAATGAGATATACAATAAATAAATAAATCTAGATCATAACTGCAAGTATATAAACTGCACAATGACAATTTGTATGTATAGTGCATCAACGAAGTGCTTCTTGATTTTCACTGATTCAGTAACTAATTTCGATGTGTGGTTTAGTTGTGATCAAATAGACCAGTGGGATCTAGAATTGGCCCCTCTGACGAGGTGCGCTCAGGAATTAGCACTATTATTTATCATTATTTCAAGCATCACAAGTGCCTAATAAGTTCCTGTAAAGAAAGTCCTGATTTTGGATATCCCTGCAGATATGCTGGTGCTACACCGATTCGAGGGAACAGTTTTGTATCAGCGACATTACAGATGTGATACATGGTTAATGCTTAGTAGAATATGTCTTGTGCTCTATTCTGCATAGTGGAGATGTACTCTTTTCATGGAACACGCATGAGCTTTGTGTGTTGATTCATTAAGAAGGGGAGAGCAATACAACAAGAGTTAGGTTACCTATAAGAGCCGGTTGTCTCGCTCAACTCTACTATTCTACCCGCATAACTCTTACGATCCCAAGCGAGCAGCCAAAGCTTCCAACCTACATAAGTTCTAGCAGAAGCTGAAGTGTCCTTCCAAATAGAGAAAATAAGTAGTGTGAAGGTTGTGTTTGAAATGGAAGGATACTCTTGGTTTATTGAAAAGCAACAAGAGGCGGATGCTTACACTAGGCCAGGAGGGATATAATTAAGCCCAATGATTACAAATATAATCAGATGCGCATGGGAAACAGGCTGTATATCTGTTTTTATCCTAGATGCTTACTTTTACTTTTGAGGGGATTCAGATGCTGACTTTGTCAAAAAATATCTTCTAGCATGATTAAAATCTCAGAACAAAATACATTGACTAGACTGGATCGAGTAGTTAGACAACAGATTAATCTACATTATTACTGGTCGTTATGAGAGTCTTGTAATTTTAGGCCCAAAGATATGCGCGACAGTAAATTTGCCTCATTTTTGGCAAATATGACATTGAAGGACTTTGATTACAGATTAATGGTGAGACTACATCTCTGTACAAACACAATATCTTTAGATCACATTTTGGTCTTTTTATTGGTTTCATTCACATGGACTGCATAGTGTGTGCTCTAGCTAGCTGCAAAGTGCAGAGTGCATGCGACCCGGCTGCCTAGATGGAGGCCAACGGCCTCTGTTTCCCGTAGGATGTGCTCGTCGACATGCCTCCCGGGTCGTGCCCTCGCCGAGTCGCGGTATATATATGAGAGAGGGATTTGCTATGTGACTCTTAACGAGTTCCATCTTTTGGTTTGGGCACTCGCAGAATCGGTTGATGGGCAACTTGAGTGGATGTTAGCACATGAAGCTAGCCGACCACAAACCTTACGAGTTACGATTATATGACAAATTGATTGAATAGAAAAGAGGAGCCAAGGATGAAATGAAATGGGAAGTGGTCGAAAGAAAGAGGAGAGGTACTGATTAGAGGAACTTGGGGCGGCAGCAGATATGGTTATGAAAACTCATTCAGATTCACCAATGCTGATGGAAGTGCTGCTACCAACCTAGTCGTTGAATCCTGAAGATGACACGGAAAAGATCTGAATCACACTGGTGACTTGTTCGCCGGCTGCATGAACTTCCAGCAGGGAACGTCAGGATGCATGAAGTTGCAGAAAGTATAGAGGACAAACAAGAAAGAGAAAAATCTTCTGCTAGCTATTCGACCTGCGCGAGGATCAGGTGGGTATGCTCAGGTGAATACCGGCGTGGATCACTTTACGTGCATTGCCATATTGACATCCTTTTTTCAAGGATACGTCAAAGGTTGACGCATCAAGAATTCAAGATCATAGATAGAAGATACCAAGAAGACATCCTCATGATTCTCCGTTGCTCGGAGAACATGTATGACATGGTTAAGCTCCCGGATGATCCACCTGCCGATAACACGGAGCTGCCTAAGGGATCTGTCTTAGCCAACTATGGAGGAGGAGTTCGCTACATGATGCTCGACAAGTACCGTCTGCTGGTATATATGGGTACCGAGTGAATCGACCGATGACCAGCTTGAGTGGGTGCTGGAACATGAGTCTGACGACCTCACGCCACACTATTACGCAATAAAACTTTTGATTCAGAAATCAAAAGCGAGGATGAAAATAGAATGGGAGGTAGCCGGCCGATAGCAGACAAGAACTAAATAGTTTACCCATACATTACAACAATTACGATGATGACACTCTCGATCGGCAGTAGAGAGGGCTCTGAGCACTCATGGAATTCGGACTAACACAACTTCATCCACTTGGACGAAAATGTTGTTGCCGATAACCTAGGCACTCCAAAGTTATCATGCCAGATCATTGGTTTCCATCCGCACAAAAAATGCTCTTCTCCTGCATTTAAGGAGTAAATTGCAAAAAACCACCACAATTGAGGACCCTAATTTAGAAAACCATCACCATTCAGTTTTTTTTCAAAAACCCACCACCATTGTGCCGACAGTTTGCAAAAAACGCTGATCTGACTATTAGAGCTGTTTGACCCAAAAAACTGACAGCTGGCTCCCCATATATGATGACGTGGCATGAAAGCAACTCACGACGTTTGACTCAAATATTAGGCCAGCATAGGGCCCACCCGTCATTCTCACTCCCACTCCTCTTCCTTCTCTGGTCAACACCAACGCAAGTGCATGAACGCACCGGTGCCCTCGCCGTCGTCGTCCCAGCCACGGGTGCTTGCCAGGAGACTCAGGAGAGCGGGAGAAGGGGAAGGCGGAGCTCACCAGGAGCTTGTAGTCGACGCGGGGGTAGCAGGGGAGCTCGAGTCTCCGATGGCTTGGCGCGCGGCAGCTGCTGCCCCCTGCCGGAGCAGGGCAATGACGGGAGGTAGTAGGAGGTACTGGGGCTCGTCGTGAAGATGCCCTGCGGCACCGGGGCGTTGATGCAAATCATCTGGGGGAGACGGCGAGGTCTGGCGCTCGACCTCCCAACCAAACCGAGCTCCGCCTCGCCGAGCGGGCCGGGGAGCGGGCGTGCTGGAGCTCTGCCTCCTCGGAGCGGGATGGGGCACGACACACAGGAGCTCGGTCTCGCCGGAGCGGTCAGGTACGCGGGGTCGCTGGAGCTCGGCCTCGCCGGATTAGGCGGCGTCGGCGTCGGCCAGATTTTGCGCTGCACAGCACAGAGCGAAGGATGACGCGGCGGGCCAAGCAGGTGGTGGCGCTCCGGGGCGGCGGCTTACGTGGAGGAGGGCGGCCGACGGGTAGGGGCGCGCCGGGGCGGCGGCTGCCGGGGAGTAGGGTGGCCGACGGGATGCACCGGGCAGCCACTCTAGCACGCCCACTACCTGTTTGGCAAAATGCCAGGAGGCGGAGGACGGGGTTGACTGGTCGCTTAACGTCCGTCTGTTTCATCCATTTACCCCTGCCACGTGGCATCTGACAACGGGATCTACATGTCAGGTTTTCACTTAAACCTTTTTAATCGCCCGATCTGCGTTTTTTGCAAACTGTCAGCACAATGGTGGTGGGTTTTTGAAAAAAAACTGAATGATGGTGGTTTTCTGAATTAGGGTCCTCAATTATGGTGGTTTTTTGCAATTTACTCTGCATTTAAGATCCGCGATGGCGGTCTATCATCTTGACAGCTCAAGCATGCAATATTTGGGTGAGATTTTTCGTTTCCGGGGTGCTTTCCCTTACCGTTCTTGCTACTTTGATATACCACCTCCTAAGGAGTCCCCACCATCTCAGAAAAGCCAATGTACACTTTCAGACGGTCTGTTTTAGTCAAAATTGCAGATACTCCATGTCCTAGTAGCGTTCAAAAGGAAGAATTACGGTGGTTAACATATGTTTTTGTGTTTATTTAATCTTATCTATTTTCTGCTGGAAGATCAACACGGCTTCTTTTGGTTAATCAAAGTGATTGAACACATGTACCTTTCACCCTGTAGCGTGTTATTATATATACTCGCTCTGTTTTTAAATATAAGTCTTTTTACACTCTAATATGTAGTCCATATTCAAATCTCTAAAAAAACTTATATTTAGGAAGTGAGGGAGTACATCCTATGTATCCATGGCATAATGTGCGTCTGAAATCATTTGTTTTTTTCTTGTATCTCTGCCGATAACTATGAAAGCACCTACTGTGCATAACAGGTTTAAGATAAAAAAAACATTGCCTGGCTAGGTTTCTTTACTTGAGAAGCACATGATTTTTCTTTTGAATTTAAAAAGCACAAGAATTTCATTCAGCACGAGCCAAGCCGATGGCTGAAATTGAATAGGAGATGCTATTTTCCCTGGTAATACAGATTGAGCTATTTGATTATAGGGACGTAAATAGCACTCTTCTTTTATCAATGCAACAAAGTTTCTTGTGTCTCATCTAAATATAGGCCGACCAATGTGTGGGGCTTCTATTCCGGTCGATTCCTACTTAGCGCGTTCAACCCCGCTTAACGCCTTGTTCGTCAATGGCGCCTATGCGCCTGTTCCAATGGGCCAGCCCATTTAAGCGTATTATAGCGGAAGTTCAGTTGTCCCGGTTTTGAGAAGCGCCTGAAAGCTTCCGGCATGATTTTTTTACCTCCCGTTTTCCTAGCTACTTGGTCTTTCTGCTGTTTCTTCACACGTTTTTCTATTTCAACTTTTTAATTT